GGCCGGAGGCGTCCTCGGCCTCCTTGCGTGAAGCGTGAAGGGAGTTGCGTGCCAGGCGAGGACGAACGAAGCAACAGGATCTGCCATTGAGAAGTTGCTTTTATGAGTTTCAAGTGACCTCAATTCAATCTCTCAAAATCCTTGGAAGGTTTCTCCAGAGGTTGGATGAAATACGATGAAGTTGACAAAACACAATTACATGTTTCGTTCAAGCCCTTTTTGAAGGTGAGTCCTACGAAGGAGCCCCTTTCCTTTTTTGCCCAAACAGTGTGGACACACTAGGGGTTCTTACGGTAAGGAAAAATCCGGCTAATTCGCTGCTATTTACAGTACATTCATGCCTCTCAACTTCGTCAATGTGCATTTCGCTGCGCAGGCTCGCTGAATCTGGGTGTCTGCGGCGGGTTGTGGTGCCGCGCGCATTTTTCGTACATGGTGATCACTCTTCGTGGCAGACGCAAGGGAAACCTCGTGCTTTGGTGCTCCAAAGTCGGCTTGGGCTCAAGGGATCGGAGGTGTTTTACTTCGAGATGCAGTTTTCGTGGCAGGTGCAGCACTTTGGACATGGTGGTGATCGTCGAGGAGCTCAGATTTCGTGACAGGTGCAGTGAATCGTGACTTTTGGACATGTAGCTTGTTTGCAGATTTCGTGGCAGGCACAGCACTCTGTGACCCTCGATGTGCAGATTTCGTGGCAGGCGCAGCACTTTGTGAACCTCGAAGTGCAGATTTCGTGGCAGGTGCAGCACTTTGTGAACCTCAAAGTGTAGATTTCGTGGCAGGCGCAGCACTTGGTGAACCTCAAAGTGCAGATTTCTTGGCAGACACGGGGCTTGGTGAACCTCGAAGTGCAGATTTCGTGGCAGGCGCAGCACTTGGTGAGCCTCGAAGCGCAGATTTCGTGGCAGGCGCAGCACTTGGTGAACCTCGAAGCGCAGATTTCATGGCAGGTGCAGCACTTGGTAAGCCTGGAATCGAAGTGCAGATTTCGTGGCAGGCGCAGCACTTGGTGAACCTCGAAGTGCAGATTACAGCACTTGGTGAACCTCGAAGTGCAGATTTCGTGGCAGGTGCAGCACTTGGTGAACCTCGAAGTGCAGATTTCGTGGCAGGCGCAGCATTTTGTGCTTTCAGATGCTCACTCTCTCACTTTCACTCTCACCCTCACTCAACGCTCACTCTCACCCACACTCACCCTCACTCACACTCACTCGCTTGCTCACTCTCGCACTCACACAGTCTCCCACTCTCGCTCACTCTCCCACTCTTACTCACTCTCCCACTCTCACTCTCACTCTCACTCTCACTCTCACTCTCTCACTCTCTCACTCTCTCACTCACTCTCTCACTCACTCACTCACTCGCTCCCTCGCTCGCTCGCTCACTCACTCACTCACTCGCTCCCTCGCTCACTCACTCACTCCCTCACTCACTCACTCACTCACTCACTCTCTCACACTCTCACTCTCACTCTCATTCTCACTCACTCACACGCACACGCACACTCACTCACCACCACCGCCACCGTCACCACGATCGCCACCTTCATCACCACCATCACCTCTCTGGACCCCAATGCGTCTAGATCTCTAGACTTTCTGCTTGTAGACCTCACACACACTGTTTGGGGTCTCTTGCCGGGATAATTGAAGGCCATCCTTTGGTCCCATCGCGTGGTTTCAGCAATGCTGGCGCGTCAAAGCTGGCGCTCCGACCTTGCCTCGATCTCCGGTGTCTGCAGGCATTCCTTGCTGAGCGGGTATCGATGCACCCTTGCAGAAAAGAACTCACTCAGAGAACCTGAGCCGAGCCAAGGGTGGCCTCCAGGGTCTCACGGGCTCAAAAAGGACTCCTCTGAAGCAAAGGTCCTGACAGGAACTGAACTCCCGAGACTCAGCTCTTGACTGCCTCAGGAACTTCGTCCGGCGCCTGGAATTCTGGAGCGTTCTGCTGGAGATCCGCGGTTGGTGATCTGTTGGAGATCATGCAACAAAAACATACAAAAACTTCGAAGAGATTGAAGGCAAGAACGAGACATTGAAGTCAAAAATGTGGTATCCCACGCATATTTGATGAGTGTCAAAAACGCTACAGGACACTTGCCGACATGCTGTTCGTTGCTTGGAACAATTTGGAACAACGGCGGCAGCAACAACACGATGTCTGCGTTATCCTCATAACGTAGCCACCAAGTATCACCTCCCTTCTTACCCCCCCAGCCCACCAACACTACTTGTGACACTGAAGACGTCCTCCTCATGGCAGCAACAGCCAAAACATCTTATTGGTGGCAAGGATACCAAAGATGTCTTCTGTTGCCAAACAGAGCAGGAGGATACAACAATGGTCCGTGCAATGACATGTTGGACAGGATGCATTGATCAGTGATTCATCTGGGTTGCAAAAGGTATGGAAGCCATCAACCCTTCAGTCATTGCCGCCTCATTCCAAGAGCTCTTCTGCAGCTGTCCCAGAGCAATCGTGAGGGCCTGAGACAGGAGACCGAAGATGGAAAAGAGGTACCAACCTATTAGCAAAAGGATGCAAAAGGAACCTAATAGCAATGGCCTCCAACCTAATAGCGATGGCCTCCAACATGTATCCACAGCTTCTTCACTTGACCAAGGTCTGCCAAGGGTCAAAGTCACAACTGAAGTTCTCGTGTGTTCTCATTGGATTACTGTACACGTCACTCCGTTCGTGCGTTTCCATCTCGTGTCCGATCTTCGGGGTTCTCAGTCCAGAGCGCAGTCCAGAGAGCCCAACTCAGGTGAACAACCCCCCAAGTGGACATCCGTTCGTTCCCCAGGTCATCCGGTCGCTCCTCTGCCAGAGCGGCCGGATCACCATGAGGCCAGGCAGGTGCCTGGGCGAGAAAGGGACCCAATTCGGGCACAGGTTCATTGGGAACGAGGAATATGGTCAAGTACTACTGGAAAAGGACAATAATCTGAACTGTAAAAATGGTTGTTTACCTCTATAAACAAAAATGGTCCAGTTCCGTGCAACCTCGTGCAACTCCGTAAAACTGGTGTCACACTTTCAGTCAGACATGTCCTGGACCTGGGACTCCTCACGCCAAAGGCCTGGCATCCAAAACCGGACACCGCATGCACAACAGGAATGAACATGTGTTTGACAGCCCTTAACCTCGAAAGGAGTGGAGAGCAAGACTCTAGACTCTGGACCTCTCTATTCTACCCTGACCATACCCCTGAGTTCACCTGTTGCACAACACATACCATACCACCATGCACTGCAAGCAGGAGTGGGACAACTCCAAGAAAATGGACCGGAAAATCAAGGCGCTTTGACAGCATCTGAAAGCGAATCTATGATTCTCCATCGAATCATGCCGAATCATGCTGCTGCCTTCTTCGCTTTCACATGGAAGTCGGCGGAGATTCCTGGAAACAACATGATTCTCTCGAATCATGATATGCAAAAAGATCTTCAGGGATCGCCCAACAACATGAAACAACTCTAAAGCGATTTCATCAATCCAACTCTTGGGTGCAACTGCAGTACTCGACTATATAGAGAGGCCCAAAATACTCGTTGCGAGGCTCCCACTGTGATTGGCTTCCTTTTGGCCTGTTCCTAGCAGCTTCTTCTTCTTCCTAGTAGTAATGCCAGGAGTGCACGGTTCGGGTCGCGTCCTTTCTCGCTCCGGACTCGGTCCGCGATGGCCCTTGGTGCCGTTCGTCGCTTCGCTCACCGGCCTCTTCGTGTCCCAAGCCGGACCCCCGAGACGGAGAAGTCGCCCTGGCGCCGCAGTCAAGGACGCGGACCGCACAGGCACACGGAGGACGTGGAGGACGTGGAGGAGGGACGTGGAGCTTCGTTTCGGGAGGCGCGCGGATATTGGGAAATGAGAGGGTCTTCCCAAGCAAAAGCATGTGCAGGACGCATGTGCAGGACGCATGTGTCCCCTTCAGCAGGATGCTTCCCTAGACTCAGGTGATTGAAGGGGACCCATCTCACAAACCTCCTAAGCTCCAGACATCCTCCTCCTCATTCTGAGGCTGAGGAATCACCACGCGTTGCGGATGTTTCGGCCGCCGCTTCCGCCTCGATTCGTCAGCTGTGAGACGTGGAGCCGAAGTTGAGCCGGCGAGTTGGACGAGTTGGTTTCGTTCACAATTTGCTCCAAGCAGCGATGCCCTTTGCTCCTAGTAGCGTCCTTGCTCCTAGTAGTAAGGCCAGGAGCCCCTAGTAGCGTCAGGCCCTCCTCAAGCTGGCTACCTGTGGGCCTTTCTGAGGGCCGTGCAGTCCACTGCTTCGTTCCAACAAGGCCTCAGCTTACTCTGTGCTTAAGGTGTCCATCGTGGACTGTCTGTATCAATGGAGCCACACAAGAAAGTTAGGTCCCTTTTCTGGTTAGTAGGTTTCATCCTCGACTCGTCTCTCCTTCTGGACTTGGCTCCACATCCTTGGATTGAGGTCCATGCTGTACTGAAGGGACTGGCATCTCCCTGGTCGCAGGAGCGCAGCATGTCGGGCGGCGCCTCAATGAAATTGGGTGCCAGTGCCAGCCACCAAGAGACCGGGAGGGGATCCATCTCCAAGAGCTTCCATTCCAATTCGGCTATGTCTATCAATGAGAAGAATAGCTCCCTGCAGTTGCTAAAGGCCATTTTATAATGAGTACCCACGAAACACTGAACCTGACAAACGTGTTGTGGAAACCCATTCTCTTCTACAGTACTTGGCAACCTCACAAGTGCGCTAAGTCTGGGCCCTGAGCAGAGTCCTCCCGCAGCCAGCTGGAGACCTCACTGCAAAAGACTCATGAGGAGCGTTTCTCATGTACTATCTCTTCATGGGGTCTTCAAAGCCTTTGACTGAGGTGAACAGTCACTATCCCATAATGAATGCGACTTTACAACATTTAGGCAAGTATAAGGCTTGACTTTTTGGAAATGAATGGTCCAACATGTGTGACATCTCCGCAGCTGGAGGGTCTCCACGGCAAGCTCTTGGCACTAACCCTCCTCCATCCTCTCAATCACATGAAATTGATCAAGAAACCTATTGGGCTGCAGATTGGTGGGAATGAAGATCCAACCCCAAAAAGCGGTCGCTTTTCCGCCCGGGCCCTCGGTTCTTTCATCGAAGTCTTGGGGCCGCACCTGTAGGAGTGGAAAGCCTGGACAAGGATGATGCCGCCTTGGAAGAACGGCGATGTGGGTCCAAAACCTGAAGAATCGCAGCTTTCATGCCACACCAAACAGATCTATCCACAAATTCACTCATGGAAACCCCTGCTACTCAAGGACTACACGTTGTGAGCTTTCCAACAGTCCATCTGCAAGGTCATTCTCTCGTTCCGTCATCCTCTTCCCAGGTCTGGCTCGATCCATGTCAGGTTCTGGTTCTGGCTCTGGCTCTGGTTCTGGCTCGATCCAAGTCTGTCTTCCCAGGTCTGGCTCGATCGGTCGGTCCATGTCAGGGGGTCTTTGTATGTCTGGCTTCACCGATGGCACCAAGACCCCGCCCCGCGGCCACTCGGCGTCCAGGCCGTGCCGGAGTCAAGGGTCCCCCATACGATGGCCTGAGGACCGGGAGGCCGGCAGTCTGAAGGAACATCCTTTTTGCTGCGTAAAAACCAAGCCGGACTCGGCCAAGCGTAGCTGCATGGTGTTTCAAGGAACTAGGAGCGAGGTCGGCAGAATCGCAATCTCGCAGTCTGTCATCATATGTCATAATCATGTGTGCCATGTAATTTGTTGAGGAAAAATCGGCTTGACGGGATTTCAATGTTCAGCAAATCCATGCAAATCCTCACTCTCACTTCCCAACACCGGTTGCCAAAGCTCTCCAGTCGTTTCTCGGATCCCCTGGCAATGGTGGTCTCATCGTACCTGCGGCTTTGGTGGAACTGCCCTGGTCCGGAGACGCTGCAGAGTTCGCTGCAGAGTTCGGCGATTGATGTACACACGGTCTCTAAAAATAAGAGGACGTCTAAGCTCTCCCAAGCAACCTTTGTTCCACAATCCCCAAAAACTCTAAAGCAAAAAAAGAATCATGTTCCCTTATTCAAACTCTATCAACATCTTAAGGTGTTCAAGCTCACAAGGAATACCCCTGGCCTCGCGGTTCACACAGAATCCAATCAACCATCATCCATCGTCCCAAACAACATCACTGTGTTTGCAGGGTGTGCTTTTTAGCATCTTGAAGGCGTCTTGATGTGTGTTTGCTTGTGACTGTGGCTTTCTGTTTCAAGTGATGCGGAATAGATTCGACTTTAACTATTGGTAGTAAAAGTGTCTTTATGACATCCAGAATAGAATGGAAAAGAATGCAATCTCAGTCGTGACACGCCACGCCTGACTCTGCTCTATCGAGAGAATCCCTGTGCGCGAGTCGGTGACTAGCCAAGTTGGCGAGAAGCTCCCTTTCAAACAGAACAATCTATGGCGGTACAGAGTTTTGACCTGGAGGCACGTACCAATCTCGTGCGCTTCCCACGTACCAATCTCCTTCGTTATTGACTCACAAGGGCCGCCAAAGTGGGTGGAACACCTGCACAAGGAAGGACGTGAAAATACACGTTCGCTTCCCTTCCGATCTCTTCGGTCTCTCTTCCGCTTCCGCGGCTTCCGCGGCCTGTAGTGCGGGGACATCGCCTTCTGCGGAAAGGTCGTATTCAGATTCCCGGGCGTCGGAACTGTCCTGGCGGGTTGCGGGTCGGTCGCTCCAAACCAGGAAGTGGGGTTGAAATATATGGCCTACTGCATGTTGTAGACCACTGCTCCATGAAGTCAAAACAAAATCTCTTGGCGCGTAAGCTGGTCTCTTCTGGGCACTGCTCGGCTCCCACTGCTTTGCTCCCACATCTCTGCCTCCGAACCCTCAGGGAAAGGGAGCGAGCATCCAGGAGCGCCTGGACCGCCCCCCAAAAAGGAAACGTCACCGGCCATCGCGAAAGACACGCCCGAAGCAGTAGACTGCAAGTCATTGGCCCAACAATGTTCAGCCGAAAGTTCCACCAGCCAAAAAGCTTCGAAAAACTTCAGAGAAGTTGGGCAACAATGAGCAAGCAAGCAAGTTAAACAGAAGAGCTATAATGAGATGTTGCTCTCACTACAGTGATGCCACCTTGAAGGTGCCTTTTTGAGCTTCGATTTGCAAAGCTGGTGCGGAGCGCTGAAAATGTCTTAAGCTGAGTTTAATGTAACCATGTCTAAAGCTACGTGCTGATATATGATATTGAAAAGGCATGGTACTTGGAAATACAATGCACATCTATAGAATATTATAGAGTGTGGATCATCCATCTACAGTCGCCACATCGCTCCGCCAGCGAACCTTTCTGGCTTCTGCAGCTTGAACGACTCGCCAGGCGAGTTCAATGGACGGACCTCGTTGGTGTCCGACTGTCGGTCTCTGAAGCCAGCTGCTGTTTTGGAAGTAAGTGGTGGGTACTTGCGTGTGTGAAATGACTGCAAGAAAACGTGGTCTTTATATGGTAGTCATGCATCTCCTTTCTTTGATGCTCACACAAGAGCTTCCTTCAAGTCAGCGATCGCTTTTGGCGCTGACTTGGGGCAGTGAGGAAGTTCTAAGCACAGAGCTACCTGCCATAGAGACCTTGCCGATGACTGCTGAGTCTCGAAGTGTTCACCCATCGGGCGAGGATGTGCTAGGAGGTGCGCTGGAGTTGACAAGTCCTGGTTTTGGCCCTCTGCAAAAATTCATCCCCTGCGCATCCCAAAAGTAAACTCGAAAAAAAATGCTATTCTTTGTTGGCCAAAAGACATCTTCCTCCAAACCCAGACCAAGCAATCTGGCATTCCACCAACCAATCATGATCAATCATGCATTCCAACTTGCTATAATGGGAGTGAAAAACTCACCTCACCTTTTTGTACAGGAAAATCATCTCGTCTCAGCGAGTTGGAGCCCGTCTGCGCGAGCCCAAGCGAGCCGGCGCCCGATTTCGTCGGCTCGGCGCCCGCCGGCTCGGCTCGGCTCGCCTCCTCTGGAGCTGAGGCCTAGAGTCGTCCAAAAATGGGATGTCCCGGGTCTTGAAGATGGATTTGGGTGTGGATGAAGGAACCCTAGAGGCCTCGCGAAGTGGGTTGGATGAATTGGGAAGTAGTGTCCGAAGTTCACATGTTGTGACACGCGGCTGGTTGTACCTTCATCTGACAGTTTCAACAAAACAACAGATCCAAATACCTTTTGTCCATAATGGAGTATGAAAATAGTTGCGGTTGTTTAATAGTTCATGTATATCTGTGGAATGAACTGAAAATCGTCAATTCAGAATTAGTCATTAGTCAGTTCATATAAGTGACCATAGACAAAAGAAAAACATGGTCAAGTCATAGCTGACTATTTAACAGCAAAATAGTCATATCCAATTCATATTAATTCTTAATTATATGTTTCCTGATTGGCTGGGACGACCTCAAAACTCTCAGTCCGGCTCGGCCCTATCCCATCGAACTGCTTTTAACCTGCGTTTCCTGCTGTCCAAGTAACAGCCATCGCCAGGCGCGCCGCTTGTGCGGTCCTCGGCGGGAGGTGGTGGGAAACAGCTAAGCTTTGGTGATCCCTCGAATCAAGCTGCATTGGTCACGGCTTAAGAACCCGGTCCTACAGGCGGGAGGTGGTGGCACAGGCTGAGGACGAATCGTTTCAGTAATTATGCCAATCATGTTCTTCCGCAATACTCCACCATATCGCAACTGTCAAGAATTCATCATTATCATCACCCCCTGCTCAACCATCATCATTTTGCCATTGCTTGACAACACAAAACAGGTTGTTGGGTTCCAGCATGTTCCAGCGCCATTTGGGGAAAACTGAGCTTGCCAGCGGAGCTGGTGATTGCTGCGGTGGTGAGGGCGACATCCTGTGCTGCATCGGCGGCCTCAGTCACAGCGATTGATTGGTACCGGGCGGCGCCTCAGGGCCTGAGAACTGCACCACCAACGAAACCCAAGACTCACATTGATCTGAAGTTTGGGATATGTATATATTGGGAACTGGTACCCAACACATGTTGGGACCACCAACACAAGCACGTTGGGGACTGTCCGAGCCTTCAAGAAAAGGAGATAGCTAGCTTCATCTCGGTTCGTGACTAGTGTGATGAAAACTGATCTCGGTCCATCTCTTGAGAGAGGATCGCATCTCAGGCATCCAAACTCTGGTGTGATGGACACCAAACCAGCAATGGTCCTCTGGTGTGATGGGACCGGGATGTGTCGGGTACGTGGTTGGCAGTGAAAAACATGGGATGTGGTGTGGCCACTGCCGCCGATGCCTGCTGTGTGCCTCTCCTAAGAATGGTGTTTCACATGATGCCAAATGCAGCGATTCGGTCGAATATAAACTTTTCAGACTGCGCTCAGGTGATTTCTTGTCCTCTGCGTTCTGGGATGCCTCCAGGGCACCAGGAAATGCTTTTAAAGCAATGGCTCTCCAACATGCAGTTGCCCATCAAAGCCATGCTTCAAACTCAGCATCACTCGGCTCAGCGGCACTCAACAGTGGACCGAGTTCTGCATCGAACATTGGGGTTCCTGTCTTCCATTGGTTCTGTGGATCCGTAGCTGAATTCATCCTCTTGCAGCAAACTCTAGCAGACTCTAGCATCGTCACTAGGCCGCTAGGCCATATCCCATATGAAGGCACTCCCGAAACCAGCACAACATGCAGGTGGTCAAGGAGTCTTGTTGTCTCTTCCCAAGGCTACTGTTGCTTTGGGGGGTAGCAGCCTCATTTCAGTGCTTGTTGAATCCACCCCATCCACCCCCGCCTGGTCAGCAAGGAGTCACGACCTCACGTTGCTGCGGAATTTGCTGTTGTCCCAATCAGCCCTCACCGCCCTGACCTGCTGAATCCGGGCCCTCCCCAACACGACCGGGAAGACTCCATTGGCTCTTGATGACCGATTTGCCACTCTGCAAGCGCCAATGGCGGGGTTCACTTTTTGAGATCCACCAGCAACAAACCATTCCCTGCACCGGCTTCAATCACCATCATTCATTTGTAATCCCAACATATCCCAACAGCTCAGGGCCAGGAATTCCGACAGCACCAAGCCTTAAGACCAAAAGATCTTCCGACCTGCCAACCTTGAAGGACGCTGCCACGCTTGACGCACCAAACCCCGCCCCCGCCCCCGCACGGAGACGTAGACGTGCGGCTCAGAGCGATGTCCCTGTCTCGAGGTGCGCCAGTCATCCTGGAGGACCAGTCACCCAGGCCCCGGTTGAGGTCGTTTGGGTCAGACGGGCCCGGTTGAACCATCCATTCTAGAACGGCTAAGCAGGGCGGAGCAAAGCAAGCAAAGCAGCCTGTGGAAGATCCGGCCAGCCGCCTCCTTTCAGTCCCTTCTGTACACATTGAAACAAACGACATTTCTGGGCACTCTTCAGGAGTGTGCCAGCAGTCGGCCGGGCTTGGCGTGACAAAGAATCATAAGACCCGACTGGAGACCCTCAAGACTGATAGTGAATCCCAAAAGCTTTTGGTTCCAAAAGCGAATCCTCAAAGATCCCATTTTGCCAGGCCCCGCCCTGCTTCAAACATGTCAGATTTGCGGGATGACTGGCCTGCACATCTGGCAAACAGCAGACATGTGGATAGGATGGCTTTTTATGGCACCTTCCACCAACAGGAAACTGTATGTTCTCTCGAACAGAAATCGTTGAAATTGCTCCAAGGTGAAGGCCAAGCCCTGAAGGTCTTCGACCTGTTGTAGCACCCCATGGCACACCAATGAAAAGAAGTCAGCCCACAAAACTGGGAGTCACCCCACGATTTTTTATCCCCCATGGCACACCATCACCCAGTTTTCCTGGCAACAGTCACTTCTGGACAAGTTCACCCATGACATGTCGCGCCAGGGCCAGCTGGGAGGGATCCAAAAGACTTGGGGTGCTCAGCAGGATCTAACAAAAATAACCCTGTGACTGAAAAGCAGTTCTTGAGAATATCTCTGATCTCTGATCACTGCAGGAAACATCTCCTAGTACAGTATATAAATCCCGGCACGGTTTGAAAGGTTGGGAATCGGCTTTTCCTGTGCCTCCCCTGTTGTCAGGTCCATGTTGCATCTTTCTCCCCGAAACCCTCGGCATGCCATGGGATTCCTCCAGCGGCATTGGGTAACCCCTCCAAAGCGTGAGATTAAATCCTCCACAAAGTGCCCACCAATCCCTCCTGCGATCATTTCATTGGAACCTGTGACCGATTGCCCTCCGTCAAATCCGAACCCACCCTGCCGCACGCGAACCGCACACGGCTGCGAACCACTCGAAGTTGCGCTTCCCGGTGGCCTCCCGCACTAAACCAGGTCTGCATGGAGGGACCTCAGCTTTTCTGTGCCCCCAGCTTCAGAAGGAACCAAATGAAAGAAACTGTAACCTCTCTGATTGCAGTAGATAATTAGATCGGATCAGATATGTTTGCCGAATGGGACCCCTCAAAAAATGGTTTGTCATGTTCAACTTCAAGATTTTCTTCGCTTTCTAAGAGAGCTGTGGGAGCAGAAGTTAAGCTGGGAGGTCTATGAAAGGCTCCTGACGACTCGGCGCACGACGACTCGGAAGATCCACGACCAGGGGCCCGCGGGGATCCCGTTCCACTTTTCGGACGATTTACTCACGGAAGACCAAACTGGCGGCCGCGAGAGGTTTTGTGTGTTTTTCATCTGGACTGTCATGTAAAGACGCCAGAGAAGATATATCATGAGCTTGGTAGCGTACATCCTTCATCGCTCTAAGACTCTAAAACTTGGTTTAGAGGTTGCTGATCTGCAAATTGAAATGAGGCAGTTCTGACAGTTCATGGGCATGGGAATCTTTCCATGCATACTCCCGCAATCCGTAACTCATCATGCTCTTGGGCGTTTCCAGAGGTCGTCTCGTCGTCTGGATGGATATGACTTGGGCGACCCCGACGCCGAAGTTCTCAAAGCTGTCCCTCTTCAAATGATGTGTCGAAAGGTGCCAGGCCTGAACTTGAACCTGAAGTTTGGATGAAACCCAGCTACTCTGTGAAGAGGCATGATTGGTGGAACCCCCCCAACCGGAACCTTTGATCCATGTTGACAGACAAATTGAATTTCCTGGCCCACCCTGGCCTAGAGCCAAAAGAAGTGCCGAGGCAGTGCAACATGCAAGACAGGTCAAGTTTAGCAATTTGTATCTATTTGTCTGCTATGTCTACACCTGGGCGGCCAAAAATGGGGCAGGTAACATGTCCATAGACAAAAACATGTGGACGTGCTTGCGTTCTTCGGTATACCCATGGCCACCAAAGATTTGCTGCAACCAGCTTGCTGCACCCTTCGATCTACCCATCCTTCCAACAGATGTAGTCTTTGTCAATTTTGGAGGATGGAAGTGCTCAAATCTTACTAGTAACAAGGACGCCATTAGGGGCTCCTGGCATCGCTACTAGT